GTTTGAAGCTATTAGGACGGTTTCCCCCCAATCTGTTGTCTTCCAGATACATTGGATCTAATCATAATTCTAAACCAACACGGTCAGGTCTGGAAGCTGTAAAAACGACGTATCTGAAAGGCCATAAGTTGCATTATGGAATGACACAGACAGCCCTTCCACCAGGGGGGTTATTCATCGAAAAGATTGGCAAGCTTACTTTCAAAGTCAGGAGGCACAGATATACTTTTAAAAGCATTTACTTTATCAAGGTTTCTACTTTTTAGGAGACCATCAGTACAATGTTGTAGGTTACCTAGAGCAGAAAAATGCCCTTTGCATTTTTGAATTTCCTTTAAAAGCCATCTTTATTATTGTATTCCAAGATAGCAGCACCAAGAACAGACGTAGGACCTGAGCAACAACAACAACAACAAAAACCTCAGCAGATTAAACATACAAAACAAAATAATGATCTCTTACAACTCTCTTAGCAACATGCTTGTTTTTGCTGGTTTGGAAATGGAGTGGTCAAAAGCGAGGCAAGCGGGTAGCGGATTACATTTAAATTCACCTGATTGTATGACTTTGTGAGTCCTTTTCCCACTTGTAACAGCAACAACGCACTCTGAGAATAGCTTTTGTTCTGTGATAATCCCCTTGATGCTCCCAATCATCTTGTCCTCCGCTTATGAGCCAAAAGGCTGATCTTCTCTAACTAGAAGATTCTTCTTCAGCTTTACTGGGGTTCAAATAGTGTTTTCACATATTCTGACACCCAGCCCTCTCCAGAGCAGTTCTAAAGTGCATAAAATCCGTTGGGCCTTGGTCACCCCATTTCCTTGAAGGGAGTCATGAGACTGCATTGACGGGTGACAGAATCGGGATAGGGATTAAGTACAGTGGCGAGATTCCAAATTTTTCCCTACCTACTCGATGAGAGCATGCTTCGGTTCTCCGAACTACTCAAAATTTCCGCTACCGGAACGCCAGAACCGGTCCGAACCAACTGATCTCTGGATTGGTAACAGGAACAGCCGACTCCCTGCTGGCATCGCTTTTGGCCAGCTCATAGGTAGATGAAGAGAACCTCCACTCAACAGTGGGGAACGACCCTTAGTGTACTATCTAGGACAGGGGTGGGCAAACTACAGCCCGCGGGACACATCCGGCCCGTTGGTCATTTTAATACGGCCCGCCTCTGAAAAAAAAATATTCCTCTCTGAAAAAAAAATTGGGGCCGGCCAAAAGAGACCCCGCGCCGCGCGCCAAAAAATTGCACACACAACACGGAGCTGGGCAGCCGCTTCCCTGGTAGCGGGGCCAAGGCCACCGCCCGGGGAACGCCCACTGCTTTCCCTCGCCAGGGCTGGGCGGTGGCGTGTTGCCCTGCGCTGCGTGGCCCCCGCCTGGCAGCGTGCTTCTCAGCTGGTCTCCTCCTCCTCGGCCATACAGAACAAACAGGCAGAGAAGGAGGAGACCAGCCGGCTGGTTGGGGGAAGCTTTCTGCGCCGAAAGAGGCAGCTACTAATCTCCGGCTTTGCTCCGCTTCTCCAATGGTCCGGCACCACCCTGTTCTTCTTGTGCTGCGAAAGAGGCGGTTAATGATCTCCGGCTCCGCTCTGCTTCTCCAACATCCGGCGCCGCCCTGTTCTGTGTCAGGCCCAGCAAGTCCGAGCAGCCGGCGCACAGAACAGGGCAGCGCCGGATGTTGGAGAAGCAGAGTGGAGCCGGAGAAGAAGCCTCCCCCAATTGGCAGCACAAGAAGCCTCCCCCAACTGGCCAGGTGCTCTCCTCCTTCTCTGCCTCCTTCTCTGCCTCTCCCCTCTTGCTCCTCACAGTTGCCCTGAGCTGGTGCGGTTCTTTACTTGGGCAGCCAGACGCCCGCAGCAGCGCCCGCAGCAGCGCCCGCAGCAGCAACAGGCAGTTCTGCCCGGGCTCTGCTCAGGTGTCCAGCTGGGGCTGTCAGGAGTTGCTACCACCGGCGCAGCTCCGCGCGGCTCCAGTCCCACGTTGCCTTGGGAAGGGAAAGGCAAAACCAGGAGCCGCTGAGCCTGAACCTCCGGTGCCGCTGCTGCCGTTGCAAAGCACCGCCGCGGCTCTTCCTTTTTGCCTTTCCCTTCCCGAGGCAACGTGGGACTGGAGCCGCGTGGAGCCGTGCCGGCAGTAGCAACTCCTGACTCAGGGGGCCTCCGAGGGGAGGGGAAGGAGGAGAAGAAGGGGGGAAGGGGGGGGCGATTCCCAAAAAATCTTGTGCTGACCCAGCCCGTCTGTCAAATTTTAAAAGTGAATGCGGCCCCCCGAGCCAAAAAGTTTGCCCACCCCTGATCTAGGAGATCACTGGCATAGAGGTCGACTCTCACCTCACAATCAGGAGGCTGTGAGTTCGATCCTAGGTAGGGGCTAATATTTGGAATAGTCTCTCCTGCTCGAGCAGGAGGGGGTCAGACGAGATGACCTCCAGGGTCCCTTCCAACTCTTATGTTATGCTATGTTATCTGCAGGTTTCTTTGTGCTGGTCTTTGTGCCTCCACAAATAGAAATGTTAAGGACCCGTGTTTTGAAAAGAAACAAATAAAACGAACACTCTGAAAGCTGTCAGAGATGTTCTCCACCTTCTGAGGGTTTAGAGTCCTGAAGTGATGGACGGTGAACAAAGCAAGAATTCAGCCTCTTCGTTTAGTCCATCTAGCTTGCAACAAGATCCTCTTCCCTGGGCCTAACCTGGCCACCTTTTGGCAAGCTTACTATCCTCTGGGAAGAATTTGCTAGGAAGCAGCAGCCCCTGTGAATCCCTCACACGACTGCCCACAACCTTCATATTGCACCATCCCGCTTTCAGCAACAAGGCCATGACCCCTTCTTCGCGGTACCCTGTCATCTCTATGGCAACAGATGCCATGAACCCGCAGGTGATGGAGGGGGTGGGTGGACTCTCTGGCAGACCCAGAGGAATCTCTCTGCTTTACGTTTAGCTGAGCTGGACCACCTCCTTTGTTTTTGTGGCATTGGATTTACCGGCCAAGATGATTACAGACGCCATTTCTTAGGCACCATAAAGGCGGCCAATCCTTCTGAGGCCCAATGGCTGCCTTCCGCCTACGGATAACCAGTGGGATCAATCCCATTTTGCAATACACCTTTAGTCCACAGCCCTCAAGTGCAGCTTGGCCTGTGTGTCTTGGGTTGAGCAAGGGGGAACAGGGATTCCTCCAGTCTCCTGATGTTCTTGCTCCATGGTTGATTCCGCAGTTTCCGTGAATTCCTCTTCTTCTTGCCTTTGAGCAGGTGGCACACAAGGGCTTTGGCACTAGCATGGAGCCAGCTGGGTCCTGAGCTGGAGTTGCCCTGAAGGACCCCAAAAAGGTCCGGCAGGTCCTGAGGCAGGCGGTAACGGGGAAGAAAGCGCAGAGCACAGGGAATATCCCGCCGGTCGCACAGTTTACTGAAATAGGCGATTACCCAGTCACATCGCTGGACCGTACCTTGAAGTTCACCTTGTAAACAGGCCATGGCTGCCCCAAAGAGGTCATAGGGCTCCGGGGCTTTCGTACCAGGGCTACTGGCCTCTCCTTGCCAGAGTCCATAAGCGTTGGCACTGCCTGCGCTCCACAGCAGTAGCACCTGGCCCTGCTTGCGACCCACAAGTTCCCGTTGGGCATACATCCAGGGCAAGATGCCCAGTCGTCCCACGTGGCCCAGCTCCCAGAGGTCCAATAGCACAGGGCAGCCCAGCGCTGACCGCAACAAGGCGGCAAAGGAGCAGACCAACTGTTTGTGCTCCTCTGAATCAGGAGAGTAGATCAGCAGGATGGGACAAGAATGGTGCCGGCAAGATGCGTCTGGAAGAGAAACAGAAGTGAAAGAAATTAAAGAAAAAGAAGAAACGGAACGTTACATCGTATGGAAAATGTTTTTATCAATGGATAAAAAAATAGAACAACCTAAAAAGATTTGATGTATTTACAGAGCAATTAAAGAAATATAAGCAAAGTTATAATGTGTGATGTTATTACGTATATGGGAATATATACGGGAACATTGATGTATTGTTAGATTTGATAAGAAAAATATCACTTATAATGTTTAAATAATTGAAATAGGTACCCAAGTCGACGCACGATTGAAATGGAATGGTTTGCTGTATATATATATAAAAAAAAAAACAATAAAAATTTTTAAAAAAAGAAATGAAAGGGATGAGGAATGCTTCTTACAGGATCTTGGATTTGTGCTTATTGGAATCTAATAACCTGCCAAGGAAAACAACAGATCTTCCAAAGCTTTTAATTAACTAGATTGTTTTATTGTTGTAATATTATTTTTTTCCCTTCCCCAACAACAAACTGTTGTGCTAAACTATTTTTCACTCTTTTTACTCTTATTGTAAAGGCTAGTCATAGACTATAATAAAGATATTTGATTGGATCTTCTAAGATTAAGCTACTTGGCCTGTTGTATGAGAAAAAAAGAAAATATAAATCAAAATACGCAAAGAAACGAGTAGGAATCTTCCCATGCATTTGACATATTTATCTCAAAGACAAGACAAATGGCAAAGGTAGAGGTTTTTTTTTTTAATAATCCACATTTGGAAGCCTGAGAAATAATTCCTTAAAGTAAGATCATCTGAATGCACCTGAATCAACTCAAATTCACTTTTTTTAGCCTTTCTCTCTATGCTATCTTCCCCAGTACACATTCCATTTTAGTTTGCTTGAGGGTTTTTTACTAACACTTAGATCCATGTAGATCCATGTAGACAACATTAAACCAGCACAGTAGTAGTGTTTAAAATATGGATTATTAAACAAGTTAATTTGGACAGTTCTATATGTAATACTAAGCAAATATACGTGTCCCACGATCTTGTAATACTAAGCCCTGATTAGCAAATCTGCAGATAACAGATAATCAGAGTTGGAAGGGACCTTGTAGGTCATCTAGTCCAACCTCCCACCCAAGCGGGAGACCCTACACCATTTCTGACAGATGGCAGTCCAATCTCTTCTGGAAAGTCTCAAGTGATGGCGCTCCCACAACTTCCGAGGGCAAGCTGTTCCCTTGGTTGATTGTTCTCACTGTCAGAAAACTTCTTCTTATTTCAAGGTTAAATCTCTCCTTGTTCAGTTTCCATCCATTATTCCTTGTCTGGCCTTCGGGTGCTTTGGAAAATAGCCTGACACCTCCCTCTCTGTGGCAGCCCCTCAAGTATTGGAAGAATGCCATCATGTCTCCCCTGGTCCTTCTCTTCACTAGACTAGCCATGCCCAGTTCCTGTAACCGTTCTTCATATGTTTTAGTCTCCAGTCCCCTAATCATCCTGGTTGCTCTTCTCTGTACATTTTCTAGTGTCTCAACATCTTTTTTATAATGTGGTGACCAAAACTGGATGCAGTACTCTAGGTGTGGTCTTACTAAGGCTTTATAGAGTGGTACTAGTACCTCCCTTGATAATCCTCAACTTACAATTGTAATTACTGCAATTTTGGTTGTAAATCATCACAGTGATTAAGTGGGTTATGTGACCACAACCAATTTTACAATCTTTTTTGCCACAATCATTAAGCAAATGCTAGGGTCATTAAGCATGATTTGCTATAGGAACTTTGAATGCAGGGTGTAAGTAGATTTTTAAAGGGTCTGTTGTAGCTTCAAACGATCACTAAGTGACCAGTCTTAACCCAAGGACTGCTTGTATTGTGCTATGATGAAAAGCAACAAACCAATCACATTTAGCATTCAATGTGTATCAAGTCTATGTACGTTGCAAAAAGTTATTATCTTTCTGGTGGACTATAAGCCTCAATTTCTCATGAAACTGACAGGTCTCTGCTGCAAAGTCATATTTTCTGCTTCGCTGCTTGAGATTGGAAACAGTATAGAGTCACATCCACCCACACTCATTATAAACCAGTTCTTCTGATGCTTTTATTACCTCTATGGAGTCTGTGCATCTTCCAGTGAATCAGGAAGATTGCCAAAGCCAGCAATCCCAGGCCCAAACCTACAGCAAAGGCCAGCAGTCCCCAGCGTCGGTGAGAAACTAGCAGAAAAAGAAATTTGAAGGAAAGTGGTGTAAAATTACTACAGAAAGTTAATTCTTGATTACCGGTGCATTTCTGCAGAAATGTATTCATGTGATATCTCCTACTTACCAGTTTCCCTCAATCTGGGCTTGTCAGATGTAAATAGAGATAGTTCTTGATGTACAACCCTTCATTTAGTGACCATTCAGTTACAAAGCACCAAAAAATGTGACTTACAATCAGTCCCGACACTTACAACCAACATAGCAATCCCAAGGTTACGTGATCACAATTTGTTTGCTCAGCATCCGGCATGTATTTACAATGTTTGCGGTGTTGTTGCGGTCACATGACTTCCGTTTACAATCTTCCCAGCCAGTTGCTAGCAAGCAAAGTCAATGGGAAACGCCAGATCGCAGGATCAACCTTGGCAAAAGGGTTGTAAAATTAGGCATGACTTGCCTAACAACCAGTTTACTTAACAATGGAAATTCTATTCTTGGTTGTGGTTATAAGTCAAGGACTGCTTGCACCAGAGTTCTTTGGGCCTCAGAGGTGTCAAACTCAAGGCCCGTGGGCTGGATTTGACCCGCAATGTGGTCGGATCCAGACTGCGGAGCCGTCCTGGAAAATATAAGGGGCCGGCCCCCGTCACTTCGGCCCAGTCAGCCCCAATGTGAAGAGGAAACATGCTAGCAATTTGGGGAGTGGTGTCAAGATGGCCATGCCCCCCAGCTGGCCACGCCCACCCAGCTGGCCATGTGGTCAATTACAGCCCTGATGCAGCCCTCATATAAAATTGAGTTTGACTTTGACGCTCCTGATCTACCTGGTCCTCTGTGGTCAAACACTTCTGGAAGACATCAGGTTGAGGAAAGTTTAAATATTACAATGAATACTTTTTTTTGACCCTGCCTTATGTAACTAAGCACAAGGAAGCCATTAGCAAGTTTAAGGAAATCATAACATGTCCCAAAATGAACCCAAAAGGAAAATAAACATCTCAGGAAGAAAAATCCTACAAATGATGAATGAGCATCTTCACTTTGCACTAAAAATTCTTTTGGAAGTGGGAAGGAAAATTAGGATATAAAAAGCATGAGTGTAGAGTTGTAATTGCAGGAATATTCCAATCTTGGATGGCAAACCTCAGATAAAGAATGTTTCCAAGCAAATACAAC